AAAAAGGTGCACCCTTCATAGACATGAGAGTAACCTAACAAGAAGGTAGGGTTCTACTTTTCATGAACCTGAATCTTCTCTACACTTAAAACAGCATCAGCAGTGAGAGACAGAGAGAACATAAAGGTCTCACTATTTCAAAAATTATGAAATTTACTTCCTGTGCCTATCTCATTCTAATTGCACTTACAATTCAACTGTAGAGGATCCAAATCCAATTTTTCATAGATAAATAGCTAATGCTGTTAATCTTGATTTGAGTTATGGGCCATCTCAGTTTTACAGTTCTGGCTCGGGCAAGAGTCCTTGCAAGGTCGCCAAAAAGCACAAGAGAACATTCGTACCCTTCATTTCTTTGGACAAATGTTTATCAATGAATTAGAATTGCTAGAAATTTGCACACAGAAGAATTCTTCTATCAAAGATCTTGAGGAAAAAATCAAACATCAGGCATGGCTTTTCAAAACAGAGCATGAAGCTAAGACAAGGATGTCGGTGTCAACATGGCCCTATTAGTTGTAATGAAAACTCAAGTTGGAGGTTGCCAGGTTCCTGGTCTAAAAGATGCACCAGATCCTGTTGGCTCTGAAAACCTGAGAATAAAATTTTACGAACAGAAAACAATTAATAAAGTAATGATATGATATATTATGTGGATTAAACACTTAGAAAAAAGATCTCTCTGATAAAAATATGTCTGACTAAAATTTAGATTCATAGAAGCTTTGCTAAATCATAATGTTCACTGAAAGAATATACACATTTGGACTTACTCAGGCTCCACTTTTGCTTTCTCAGCTGTGCTCTGTTGAGAATTCCTGTAGAAAGATCATATGAATACCATCAGCTCCTGAACATGACTTCAAAATAAATAGAAGACATTAATAGTTTTATATACATTTCACTAACATGCCCCTCATATGAGAATCCATTGGACTTGAAGGGTGGACAATGTACAGGCCTATCTACTTGTGTTAAAAAACTCCACAATATTTAATTATTTATTAATAGAATAAGGCAGTGAGAATCGAACTCGTAACCACTTGGTTATGTAGGCTCTGATATTATGTAAATAACCAATTCAACCCAAAAACTTAAGCTATTAAATATAAGCCACATTAATTATTTTATATTATATTTCTCTAACATAAAGTTTAAAGAAAATTAAAACAGAACAAAGCAACAAATATAGATTTCAGGATCACGGCAATGAATATCAAAGCCCTTCAACCAAAGAATGTCATTTCCAGAGTATTCAAACAGAAATGTTATTATTCTACATTGTGTATCCTTAACAGTTCATGTATAGTCACTGGATTTGCTTTTTATAATTAGATTTTACTCCTTAGGAAAGTTATACTAAAATATTGCAACAGGAATTAAGAGAAGACTGCCAAACAAATTCCTGATAATATTTTAAATAAAAGGATGGGAAGAAAAAGAAGAAAATTAAATCACCATCAAATTCTGATAAATGAATCAGGCATAAGAAAAAAATAAATGTTGTTATGCTGGCCACACAGACTGCAACACAGTAAGTGCCCCAAAGAGCATGCTATTTTTTGGGGATACATAAAGGCATGCATTTTAAACAAGATATTTGTGTATCAAAATATCAATTTCAGAAGACTCACCTCAAGCCACCCATTGTGCCAGATGATTCTTCAACCTCGTCACCTATAGTGGAGAAAATGTCAAAAACTTTATTCAAATAAGTAGTGTATAAATATATTGTAAGAATGCTCTCTATACGGAAGGCTTTTTCTCTTCTTTTTGGAGGGTTTAATCTCAGAACGATAATCCTGAATAATAAGTAAACATAATCATTTGCATAGAGTAATAAAAATTTTATTTGATCTATTTTGCTTTGAGGGGTGGGGGAACATTTTACTCCCCTGAAATAAAGATCAAGCTTCACTATATTCTTAATTTAAGGTTATCCAAATAATTTTTCTTTCAAAAAAACCAAATGCAAAATTTGTATCAAAAAGAAAAGAACAGCCAGATGACCTTCTGAAGGAACTGGGAATTGCCGAATAAAACTTTTCAAGTCTGGACCACCAACTTTTCCTGCCAGGAAAATTAAATTAGACAGTAACTCCTAAGAAGTAAAAGAAGAATATTACAATACAAATAAATTTTAAGCATCTGACCAGTGCTGACACGTTTTCCTTTACTGCCTTCTTTGGCTCTCCTTTCCTCTTCTTCTTTCTTGAGAACTTTGTGAAAGAAAAATAGTCTATGGTAAGTTCTCGGTACAGAACTAAACTTAGCCGAAAAAGTTCCTTCATTATATTGAGAAATGAGAACTATCACATGCAATGCTGAGGACAAACTTAAAAGAGGACTATAACTAAGTCAGAGCAAAGTATTCAAACAAATTGATTAATAAAGGTAAAAGTATGCATGACACGTACGAGCAACATTCTGTCTAACACGTTCACGTCTTGCTTCCAATTCCATCATTTCCTGAAGAGGAATAAAACAGTATTGTCAAGTAATACTGCAATAGTACAAGTTACTTTGCTGAAGTTCCTCATTAGAAATACTTTACTTTCCTGAAAACGTTCTTAAAATATTTTAAGGGTTACTTCAATAGTTTGGTATCCCAATACAAATAGGGGACACCAATTCGGGAATTAATTTTTCATAATAGAATTGAAGCAAAACTAATCCCTTTATTGTTCAGCCCTTTAAAGGGATAAAAAACTAACTGTAAGCTACACTAAAATTTAAAACTAGCAAGTCAATGATGCAAGTAAAATGCCACAGATCATCACATAATCCCGTTTAACCCCAAATAAATATAGAAGACCCAAAACAAAAAAATGTGGAAAAAATATAACAGAACAAAAACAGTTCTACTGGGGATGGGGGTGCTCCAATTGGACAAATTACTAGTAACTACAATCAATTGATCAGACCTCGATTCACTTCAAAGAATCGAAATATATTGACTTTCCCAAATGATTAAAAATAGTGAAAAAAACCAAGATAACAGTCACTGAATCAAAGAGGTTAAATAATCTTCAGTTTTATTCGTTCATTTGTTTATACTATTTAACTCACATAATTCCAAAGTCAACAAGGCACCATGTTTAGAACTCTTCATGGCAAGCTAATTTGTTTATGATAAATAAGCTGAAGATGTTAGTTTAGGGTCATTGATGCTATCCAAATATTATCTTAGAAGCAATTTGAAAAACAACGGATGAATTTTCCTATATATATTTTTTCAAAGAGACTGCACTGAATGTAAGGAAATTACAAGAACATAATATTTCAAGAGTGTTGCCTTATCTGATTTGCAGAAGGATTGGGCTAACCTACTGTATTCCTTGTTTCCTTAGTGTGTGTGTGTGTGTGTGTGTATATATATAATATATACCCTTTCCCTATTGTACTTGATTCGGTTGGGAAGAAAAACATAAATATGAAAGAATACATGAGAGGAAGAGGTACAGGGGATTAGAAGACCCACATGCACAGCATATGTCAGAATTAAGGGGTGAGTCAGCATTGGGAGATGGAGGGAAAGCTGGTTAGGGGAGCCCCATTATTTGCAATCAATTTGTTACAAATAGGAAGGCGAAGACTGAGCAGAGACCATCTAGGAAAATTGGGACTCTTGGGCTTTTGGGAGAGAACCAGAACCTCTCTGAATGTTGGAGTACTTTCTAACAATTTTCGACCTTTTTCTTTCATTTCTTCTTCGTTATTTATATTTCTCCTTTACCTATACTGCAATTTTCTATTAAACATATATTGTAATACATACCTGAACCTATGTTAAGGTTCAGAATCATCAATACAAAGCTTCTTTCTTAATCTTTTTCCCTGCTCAGCTTTGATTCACATCAGTACTTCTCTTCCTTTTAATATTATTCTTTAATATATATATATATATATATATATATATATATAGAGAGAGAGAGAGAGAGAGAGAGAGAAGATCATTTGACACCGATGTCAAACTAAAAAGTTTGACACCAAATCTTAACCGTTGATTTCTACCAATCTGACGGTTATAATTTATTGAAAATTAATAATTATAACCGTTTGATTCACGGAAATCTACGTTAAGATTTGGTGCCAAAATAAAAGTGTCAAATGATCCTGTCCCATATATATATATATATATATATATATATATATATATATATATATATATAACATAAGAAACACAGTTTTTATGATAGAGAGGTAACATTATCATTCAATATTTGTTCATTGCAAATCAATCCTTGAAGATAAACAAAAAAAGGAAAATCATTGTAAGCAATGCCATTACATCTATAGCCTAGCCATGACCAGAACATGTAAAGAAACATCAGCAGTTCTGTCTTGAGATAACTTATGGTACTAGCAAAAAGATATATAGATGCATTTCAACTTACCTCTGGAGTTGGAGCCTTTTTACGCTGCCCATTCAGCCAACATATCCATTCAACTAAAATAATTAAACAGTAACTATCCATCAAGAATGGGAAATAGGATAAAGAATCATACTGTTTTCTGAATAAATTCAACATATATCATGCCTATCGTACAGAAGGTGAGAGCTAAGCAATAAATTTAGCAACAAAAGACAAATGAAAACAAACTTATTAAGGTAATATCATAATTGGACCATTCCAGAATCAATGCAATAATAGATGTAAGGGAACAAAAAAAAAAAAAGACAATAATTTAGCAGTTGAATGATAGCTTCCTTAAAATATATACCTGGAATAGAGGTAGGATCCTCCTCTCCTTTAAACACCACCCATCTTTTCTCTTTCACTAGTAAACCAAGACAAAATTGCAGAATCAGACAGATTCATTGTAAAATTAACTACAACGCAAAATGCACACATAGAAAAAAAATGTAAGAAGAACTAGAGTTTTGGAATTCCAAATTCATACTCACACACCAAAATGATATCTTAAGTGATTCAATCCAGTGGCAGAAAATAGTGCAAAATTTAAGCAGCCAATAAATCAATTCTATTTTATTTTACTTTTCTAAATTCAGGTGAATCTCACCCCTTCTCAAAGTTTCACCTAAGAGTAAATGCATATTACATATATCAACAAGAATTATTAACCTAAAAAAACTAATGACAATTGCAAAGTTAGCCCCCAACTCCAACAGTCTCAAAGCCAACAATTTAACCTCCTAGATCATAATTATATGAATAAATAAACAAAGAAAATTAAGAATAACATGTATATCATATGAGTAAAGTATTTGCAGTGAGCTGATCATTGCAATGCAAAAGACCCCTTTTGCACACCCAACTTAGATAACACCAAAAATTCATACAGGGAAAACTACATAACATAAACCCAGAATCTCAAAACACAATAAAACCCATTAACTGACACCACAAAAACACAGTTATAATAATAACATAAATGGAGAGAGAGAGAGAAATCCACTTACTGATACCATCAATCTCTTCCTTTCTGGTGAAGTATTTGTTCCCTCCTTTGTCCACTCCCACCATAGTTCGATTGCTCAAGAACCCAGCAATCCTCCCAAGCAGCCTCTGCATTTTTTATTTTTTTTTACTTTTTTATTTTTTTGGATTTTGGCAAAGGAATTCAAGTGTTACAGTGACAACATTGTTGTTGGAACAATCCAACGTTGGAGATTAGAAATACAAAATGTTTGGAATATGATTCGTGCTACAAATACAATACAACGTTAATTCTAGAGCGTTTGTGCGAAGGTGAAAATGGAAAATCTGAGTTTTGTTTTGTTCGCTTTGTCCGGTTCGGATCTATTGCGGACCGCCCATGATCCGGTTTTATGTGCCAAACCCCTATCTTCAGTTTTTTCAATAAAATGAAGGGTTTTATGTTTGGGAGATGATTTTGTGCCGTAGGAGATAAATCATTTCATGTTGTGGCACAATATTTTATTTTTTTAATTTTTTTATTAACTTAAATAAAGGAACTCACGTAAAAATGTTTCAATGACATAAGAGATAAAATTTTCTGCAACTCGAGAAAAGTTTTTGCCTTTATGTTTAGGGTTTAAAATGAAGGTAGCTCACTCCTCTTATTGCTGCAAGGAAAAATTCTTATTGTAACTTATTATAACTATGTAATAAAGATTGTCTATAATAATAATAATAAAATTATTTTTTTCTTCTTTTCTTAGATATTGTCAACTAATGTGTTGGAAAAAAAAAATTATCATTATAATTATGTACTATTCACAATAGATAATTATAATAAGTTACTGCAAAAAAAATTTCTATTTCAGTAACACGAAAAGTGATTTTGTCTTAAATAGTTAAATTGATGGGCAATGAACTTCTCACCTACAAGGAGAAGAATTTTTTTTCCTGTTAACCATTCGATTCTCGTGCTAGCTCTTTTTTTTTTTTAACATATGAGCTCCACATTTTTTTTCTCTTCAGAGAATACGGTGGTGTTTGGTTGGGAGCTTTTCAGCCAATATTTATCTTTCTCAAGTATGACTTTTAGGGGGCGTTTGGTTGAGGAGAAATTTTTTGAATACTAGGGAAATGTAATTGATAGGGAAATGGTTGGAAAATGAGTTTGGTGGGAAAATGTAAAAAAAGTTGTTTGGTTGGAAAAAATTTTACTGGGCAAATTAGGTAAGATTTATAAAGTCTATGTTTGGTTTGAGGTAAAATATAGATGGGAAATAAGTGACAATTACGAAAATATCCCTGTTTTTAAAAATTTTGGAAAAATAAAAAATGAGGCTTTACTTGTCAACTTCACTGTTGTGATCACTGTCTTATTTGGTGCCTTTGTTTTAACATTGCTGTATCAGATGCTCCCGCAACCGAAGATGACTACGCAGCCATATAGATTAATTTTTGTATCATACTATCATGGATAACCTCATGTATGCTATTTAGTTTGTAGTGGGAGTGGGAAGTTGGAAATAATATATGTTGTGTCTGTATTTTTGGACACCCAGCTTGTAATTAATCATCATTATTATCCTTGAAACATGTGATTGTTCATTGGTTTATATCTGTGTAATTTAATTGTCAACTTTTCCTTGGTCAGCAGTTGAGATCTTAATATGTGGCTAAAGATTGAAAATTCAGTCCATTGTGTAAACATTAAAAATACCAATTATCTATCTTGACTTCAATGTGTTTCTTCTGACATCTCAGTAAAAATACCAAATAATCAGAAACTTAAAGTTCTACAATAGTAAAATCTAAAATGGAACAAATAACGATAATTGTTCACGACAAAAAATAAGGTACAAGGCCTGAATACAACAAGTTGTGATCACAATGTTTAAAAAACAAAAGGAAGCAAGCTTCTATCTCATCCATCCATTTTCTCTACATTGACTGATGTAATTGGCTCCTCCTATCTAGCAACTTTGCAGCTGGACCGACTCACACAATTGCTTTTCTGTGCTTTGGCTTCACGTTTAGTGTCACGTGGGGTGGCCTCCTCTGGTTGGCTTGCTGAGCTGCTGCTAATAGAACTCTTTATAGATTCAATAACTAAATTTAATTCTATTTCCTCCTTTTCTGTAGAAACAGATATACACTTCCAATCTGAGACATTAACTGAAAAAAATAATTTGCCAATCTGAGATGGAACCAGACACTAACTTAACCAAATCAATCTGAGATGCTATTGCTACCTGTTAGAAGTATTGCCATAGAATTAAATTACTCACACTAACTGAACCCGTACAAAATATTGTCGACATGAAATTTTATGTCACTGATGGAATTGGATAGCTGAACTCCATGGTTGTACCCATTCTGCAGATTGGCTACAATAGAAGGATCAAGTAAAACTTGCATCTGCAACAATAATATAGTTTAGATCCTTTGTACAACAAAATTAAAGAAGCAAAAAAATGAGAGAATTTACAAATTATGCCATTCAAAATGCAGATACTGAGGTACATACAAAAAATCAGTTGTGAATGTTAGATTCTATTTGACTGACCAACAGCCATGTGTGTACTATTCACAGCATGGTATTTACAAGACTATTTTTTGAAACCAAACTACACCAAAAAGACAATATACAGAGTCTACCAACATATCCCTTTTTTTTTCCAAAAAGCCACCTGAAGATAGTATCACAAAGACCTAGACAAGAACCCAGCCACCAGAAACTTTCAGGCATCATGGTAGCATTGCATGAAGATATCTGTCATGTTGCTATCCCTGCCCAATCCTTGAACTGATTCCTGTGGGCCTTCTGCATTACCACCAGTAGCCACATCCTTGCCAAAGATTGTCCCCAAAACGTGATAGTATGGGAAAGGCTTGTTGAAAAGGCACTTGGCATTAGGGTGGCTCTGCAAAATGAAAATATGGTTGGTATTAGAAAAAATTTAAGATGCTATATACGTAAATAGACCACAACGTACATTCAATAGAGTAAAAATAGAAACACCTGAGACCTTATTGACAAAAAATAGACATACCATTATGATATGACATTGGACTCTTGAGTAATGTCAAAACTTTAAAATACTACTGTCACAAATATACCAAGCATTTTAATTTAAGATGTCAAACCATAACATTGATCATATGAACAGATTAACATTGATGGGCAGCCATATGACACATAAGACAATACTGCATATACACACAACATTTGAGTCTTAATTTTCCTTCCAATTCTTCCCATAAGTCTATTTCTACATTATGTTAATTTTTTTTATAAATTCCACACCAATACTAAAGTCTAAAATTATATCTCTGTGTACTTATAGAAACACCAAAACAAGGGCTCACAAAACAAGTTTACGAAGTTATAACCATCATACATACAACACTATCAACATGGAAATTTCTCAGTAGACTATAAATCACATAAATTGAATTGCTCCATGAAAGCTAAGATGGGTCATGACTGATGTATGTTACCACATTCTAATATTATATAATAACAGTTTTACCCCTATGTACCCATCTCCTATAGCTATCATTAATTCTTATTTATTGGTACGGTCAATTACCAAAAAATGTGCAGGATTTTTACAGTGATCTGTCTGATACAAGTTAAGTACATTTTTTTAAAAGGAAAATTGCACCTGTCATTGCATAATAAGAAAAGTGAAATTAAATTTTTATGCATTGATGTTGTGATGAAATACCTTAAAAGATGTAGGGATCTTAAGGCAGAGGAAGTTATAATAAGAACTGATGGGCTCCCAGCATCAATTTTGCCTTGTATGAGCTTCCCTTCACAAAGCACCTCTTTCCATGATGCCCCAAAAGCACCTTTAATATCTCTCCCCAACATTTTCACATCCAAATTTGCCTCTTCCGATACCTCGAGAATACATTTATCCGCTGCATCAATTCACCATAGCAATTTTCAATATCCAAATATACTACAAATTGATAGGTTAATTAAATGTCAAAGGCAGTGGAGAGGAGCCCTAAGCTTTGAGGGATTCCAACTCGAGAGAAGAAAGCTGAACACCCTTCGCCGACTCGAATTGTTCCACAAAGAAACGCAACTGCTCCAAACCTCCCTTCTTTTCATTGCATGCCTTCCTTTTCTTTCTAACATCATCTTCATCATTTCCCTTTCCCTTTCGCGAAATTTGGTAAAGCATATAGGAGGGCAATTTTGTCACATTTTACGTCAACTTTTTTTCACTTTGCTGGTTTTCACGGAATACCACATTGCAAGTGGCAAAGCTAAGCAGTGTTTTTATTCGATTTTTGCATACAAACAACGAAGGCTGTGCAAATGTCTTCCCTAGATAAATTTTCATTTCTCTTCTACCAAACGAAGAGAACACAGATTGCCAAAGTGAGAAAGATGGGGATCCCAATAAAAAACCCGAACCAAACGCCCCCTTAGAAATATCATGTTTGTTTCAATGTTTTTCACCAAAAACCCATCTATCCAATTTGTCTGGATTTATGAGAAACATAGATATCCGCACTGTTTAGAAACCCAATTCGAAGGTGGGATTTTTCGAAAAACCGATTATCTGGCTTTTAATGCACTGCTGATTTCATAAATCTACCTAATTTTCCGAGTAAAGTTTTTCCCCACCAAACAACTTTTTTTTACATTTTTCTACCTATCTCACTTTATCTATCTTTCCAATCATTTCTCTATCTATCTCATTTCCCTACTATTCAAAAAATTTTCCTGAACCAAACGCCCCCTAAAGCAATACTTCTTGTGTAATGGGGGAAGTATAAAACCCTAAAATGATTTGATTTGTCTTACATCACAATTTCACATATTACATTCTTAGTCAATGATTATAATATTTTTTTTCAGTTTAAAAATAAATTTTCATTTTTAGAAGAATCGAATTCAAACTAAATAAAAATCAATATATGAAGTATATTTTTTTTTTAAGTTTTTTTCGTGTTATATACATTATGTTAAGTTTATATTTATAATTTTTAAGTTTTTTGGTTTTGATAATCAAATATTTAGGACTTTTTTTCTTTAATTAAAATATCACTCACGAGTATAAATGTATAACCGTGAGACAAATTTTTCATAATAGAGGTTGTAGTTAAACCTCACTAGTAGCAACTATGGAAAAAAAAATTGAAAAAATTATTTTTTAATAAATAATTACGAATATATAGCTGTTTTGAATATATTTATGAATATATTGTTGTCATTTATGCCCTTTTTAGGTGTGACCATTCACGCTCAATCCAGGCAGAAATGCCACGTCATTCACACCTATTATAGGCGTGACCATTCACGCCCAATCAAGGCGAGAATGTCACGTCATTCACGTCCATTTTAGGCGTGAATGACTTAGTCTATGTATTCCCCAAATTTTTTACTTTACACTTTCAGATTATTTCTCTACCTTATCTCTAAGATTGTTCTTTGATTTTTCTCTAGATTTCTTCTTGAGTTTTTGTGCAGTGAATCTTTGTCAAACAAATAAGTCTTAATATATGGTTTCTCTATTTTTTAAATACAACAATATATATGTTATACTAGTGCTAATGACTTAGGAAATTGTTAGTGACCTAGGAATTTGTTAGTGATTTAAGCAATTGTTGGTGACTTAAGAAATTGTTAGTGACCTAGGAATTTTGTTAAATATTTAGGCAATTGTTAGTGACATATGAACTTGTTACTGTTTTACACAATTGTTAGTCACGTAAGAATTTGTTTGTGACTTAAGAATTTGTTTGTGACTTAGAAAAAAAAGCGTACATGTAGTTTAATATATTTTTTAAATCCTGTATTAGGCATGTAAATTATTTGAAAAAGAAATTAATCATAAGAATGAATTTGTAATTTTGTATAGTACATTATTATGGCTGACTCGTCATCTTCCGAGTCACTTCGGTCTTCATCCGATCACGAGCCTGAGCCATCGGACCCCACGACACACGTGCTTTCTGGACCATACAGGTGGGAAATACTTTGGAGGAGCGGACAAGGTTTCCCTTTAACAGGCTGTGTGGAACAAGGACAAGGTTTGCCGGCTGAAGACTAGACGCAGCAGGATGCTGGTGATGACATTCCCGACATTGTGGCGGAGTATCTTTCGCAGGCTGGCTTCTTACATGTCGCACACATGCGACATATCCAAGTATGCATATAAGAATGTAATATATTACAGGTGTTTTTTTACTACAAATTTTGGTAAATTTGTGTGCTTGATAATTTGGTTGATTTGATAGTTTGTTAGCATGTATTCCAGATTAATCCATCCCGATCAATGCTCTAGTAGAAAGGTGGAGACCAGAGACACATACTTTTCACATGACGCAGGGTGAGATGACCATTACCCTGCAGGATGTGGCGATTATCCTGGGATTGTCGACTGAAGGGAAATGGTCACCAGAGGTACAATTTTGGACTAATGGGTCGTGTGTGAGGAGGTGTTTGGTCATGCTCCCGACGAGGCTGAGCTCCCTTTTGGCGATGTGAAGCTTCCATACTTAGATAGACTCTATGTGCATTGAGGTCCAGTTGCTGTACATCCTGAGCAGGTGATACGGTACAATAACACATTGCCTGTATGTTGGGATCATGGCTCATTTGCGACAGATCGGGAGGTAGCGTCCTTGCACGTCGCTACATTTCATTACTGGCAGGAGACTTTGTAGAGATTGGAGAGTATATCTGGGGGTCTGCTGTTCTCACATATTTGTTTAGACAATTATGCGAGTGTACAGAGCCAGGCAAATCAGACATGGGTGGGTGCCATTTCTGTTTCGGATATGGGCGTGGCTTAGATTTTCACCTATTGCTCCCCCTTCCTTAGCCTACTCAGCTGGAGTGGCACTAAGGACACCGATATGTGTCTTTTATTGCCCTTGATTCGTTATCTTTTTACGAGTATTATAATCAGTGTTAGTGTTAAATTTGAAAATCAGGTTTAATCATTTAGCCTGTTTCAAACCACAACAACTTTTGTTATATCGGGGTACACTAGACGCATTATGTAGGGACGAGGTATGTTACATATATTATAAATTTCAAAAATTGGTTGTATGTGGTATGGTCTACTGATTGTATGTTTACTTTTTTGTGTAGGTGGTTTTGCAACCATACGGTGACTACCACTTCTTGGATGCATATGCACATGAGTGGTATTTGTGGTTGGCCACGACACCAGTTATATGTTTCTATACGGTTGAGTACTGCCAGCCAGATAGATGCATGTAGCAGTTTGATTTGGATCAGCTGATACCAGATAGTACTGGAAAGCTCAAAGGTGTTCATGATCATACACGAATATGCTGGTCTGTTGTTGACTCCAGCTGTGTAGAGAGAGAGAGAGAGATAAAGTGAAGTGAAGGAGAGTAAGTAAAATGATGATGGACCACAAGTAAAAATTAGGTTGAGTTTAATAAATGAGTAGTATAAAAAATATAAAATAAAAATAAGAGTTAGTATAGTAGACCAATCTGATAGGCTCTAAGGCCAAAATTTTGAATTGGAGTATGAGACATTTTTATTAAATGAGTTTTTATGCAAGTCCAAATCTATATCTAACAATCAAAATAGATGGGGGCAGGCCAGATCTACAAGTGCCTTACCAAAGTCCGTAACTCTTTTAACACCTCTAACTCATACCTTCTCTTGCATTTACCATCGCTGTCAAGGAAATTTATCAATATAGATATGGAGAAGGATCCGTTTACAAACTTTTTTGATAAATTTTTACTAATTAGATTATCTTCTCCCGGGAAAACATATTGAAACATCGTGTTTTCAAGGGAGAAGATAGTGTAGTTTGTAAACAAAAAAGTTTGTAAATATGACCTACCCCTATAGATATAGATAATAAAAAAAATTTGAAAGCACCAAAAATCATACTTTTTTATTCTATATTTTTTTTATAGTTTTCTAAGCCATCCTTAATAAGTTTTAGTTTCAAATTTGTGTTTTAAATTATTAAATAAATACAACATTTTCTTGAAAACTAATTACGTCTTTCTATAAGATAATTTTAGTGGTTTGATTTTCTCATGTTGCATGAGAATTGAATTCTCAACTAGTGGTGGGTCCCACATTTATTAAAAAGAAAAAAAGAAAAGAAAAAATTTGCACGCAAATCGAAAGATCAAAACATAAGAATTGAATTTTCACAAGAAAATGTTTTCCCATAATTTTATTACCAGTGTGGTCATTCTAAATAATAAAATGTCATTAGTGTTGTCTGCCCAAAAAAAAAAAGTCATTAGTATTAGTGGTTTAGTGCTGCAAAAAACACTTACTCACATTGTGATCCTTAATTTATGTGTAATTTATTTTTAATAAATATGAGACTTATCACTAATTGAGTCACAATATGAGAAAACAATTATCATGTAATATGATAAAATCAAAGTCCATTAATGAAAGTCACTTTTTAGGAGAATATTATATTATTAGTTTAATAACTTAGATAATTGATATTAAAAAAAGTTAAAATTAAATTAAAAATGGAAAAAAGGTTTCATTATGAAAATATATTTTTACTTGTAAAAGGAGCTTCTAATTAAGGTTAACTAAATTGATAGAGTCTCTAGAGTTGATTTTAAAACCAAATAATCATTTTGTTAATTAAAGTTAGAGGCACGATATACTTATCACCAAAAAAAGTTTATTATCTTTATCACCATTGATTTCCGTTAATCTAATGGTTAAAATTTATTAGAGATTATTAGGTCACATTTATTAATTAATTATTATTTCTAATAAATTATAACCGTTAAATTGACGAAAATCAATTGTGATTAGATTGATTGTAAATGTAATAATTTTTTTTGACGATAAGTACATGGAGGGAGTGAATGGGTGAGTTAATGGTAATAAAGAGGAAGAGAGAAAAAATATAAAGATAAAAAATTACACCAGCATCACCCTAATTTAATTATTAATGATTAAGATATCTTAACATTCAAACTTCCCAATTTTTCTGTCCCAAATTTCTTTTCTCAGAAACCAAACGACAACTTGACTCTCGGAGAAGCACAAGCTGCAGAACCAGAAGAACCCATAATAAGATTCAAAAACCCCATTTCAGAATCCATGTTTTCCTTCACTCTCACGAATGGGGTTCCTTCAAAACCTCACCTTTCTCATTCCCTTTCTTCCTCTTCCCAATTTCACCAAACCCGGTTCCTTCACTCTCCATCGAAGAACCACTCTTCGATTCGCTGCGGCATCCGCGAACTCCGAGAGCGAATCAACACGGTGAAGAACACCCAAAAGATCACCGAAGCGATGAAGCTCGTCGCCGCCGCCAGGGTCCGGCGAGCACAAGAAGCGGTGGTCAACGGAAGACCCTTCTCGGAGAAACTGGTTGAAGTGTTGCACGACATCAACGAAAGGCTCCGAAACGAGGACGTTGATGTTCCTTTGACTAACGTTAGACCTGTTAAGAAGGTTGCCCTTGTTGTCATCACAGGGGATCGTGGCCTCTGTGGTGGTTTCAACAATGCAGTGGTGAAAAAAGCTGAGACCCGAATTGAGGAGTTGAAGAAGCTTGGTTTGGATTGCGTTGTGATCAGTGTTGGGAAAAAGGGTAACTCGTTTTTCAGTCGTAGGGCTTTTGTTCAAGTTGATAGGTTCATTGAAGGTGGGAGCTTTCCCACTACCAAGGAAGCTCAAGCCATTGCTGATGATGTTTTTTCACTCTTTGTGAGTGAGGAAGTTGATAAGGTTGAGCTTGTGTATACCAAGTTTGTGTCTTTGGTTAAGTTTGATCCTGTGATTCACACGTTGTTGCCTTTGTCAACCAAAGGAGAGGTTTGTGATGTGAATGGGAATAGTGTTGATGCTATGGAGGATGAGTTCTTCAGGTTGACTTCAAAGGATGGCAAGTTGGCTGTGGAGAGGGATGTTGTGAGGAGGAGGAAGAAAGATGAGTGTTTTCCCCTTATGCAATTTGAGCAAGACCCGGTTCAGATTCTTGATGCTATGATGCCTCTTTATTTGAATAGCCAGATTTTGAGGGGCTTGCAAGAATCACTGGCTAGTGAACTTGCTGCAAGGATGAGTGCCATGTCTAATGCAACTGATAATGCAAATGAGTTGAAGAAGAATCTTTCAGTTGCATACAATCGGCAACGGCAGGCAAAGATTACAGGGGAGATATTGGAGATTGTGGCAGGAGCCAATGCACAAACACAAATTGATTGACAAAATGTGATTTACTTGTTGCTACATTGTTGTCACGACCCAAATCTGAGTTATGACCGGCGCACACGCTAAGGTAACCCAAACACCCTTAATCTGACAAGTCTACTTTCACAAAGAACCCATAGGATGTTAATCTTCTATGGATTCTTTGTGGACCCAAACACCCTTAGTCTGACAAGTCTACTTTCACAAAGAACCCATAGGATATTAATCTTCTATGGATTCTTTGTGGAAGTAGGCTTGCCAGGCTAAGGGTGTTTGGGTTACCATAGCCTGAGAGCCGATCATAACTCAGATTTGGGTAGTGACAACTGTGTTTTGTTGAGAATACTGAATCCTTTTGCGTGGTATAGAACATGGGATTATAGAGTATCCCAATTTCACTAATAGTTTCTTAAAAGTTGATTAAGGAAGAAAGATTATAGGTAGGGAGTTTTGACCCGTGATTCATTCCTTTGTTCTTCCAGGGAAGTGCATTACTTATCTTTAGTGTCTGTTGTCATAGCTTATGCAGTTTTGGTTACGTGCTTGATTTTGTAATTGAAATGTCGACTGGCTTTCTGAGTCAAACTTTGATGTAAAGAACAATTACAAGTAGACGTGGCAATTTTTAACATGACACATTGACGAATACGATATGAAATTTGTGTCATATTAATATTGGCAAAATCTGATTCGAAAAAATTAATAGTGTTACTTATTAACTTGCAAATACAAAATTGATTCATATTAATCTTTTACAGGCGGCAAAATAAATGAGTTATGTTTGTGTCGAAGGTTTTGACCTATTTTCAAAATTTTTTTCATGTTCGTGTCAAATTTTCTTGTCGTATTGTGTTGTATCAACTCGAATTGTCATACCTACTTATGGGATCAAAAACCTTACCCTCTAATTTGTTTTCTTGCAAGATCAGAGTAAATTTTTTTCCTCTCATCTATTTTTGTTGTTGTTGTCAAGCGTTTCCTCCAACTTAAAATATAAAAAATGATCGAAAGAAACTCGAGATGAAGTTGCTTTTCTGTTTGAATTATTGATGGAATAATACTAGTTACCCTTTTACACCTTATTTTAATACATCAATGAAATTGATTCATGCATCAAAGTGCAGATGCTGATTGGAAAAGCTAAAAATTTCCATGAAGAAAGGTGACTTTTGGACCTACAATTGATGAATCGAAATATAGTTTACATTGAGATGACAAGATCTTCACGCGTGATTTGGCAGTATCTAGCTGTCTATATCAAACGATCCATGACCCACACTCCCTGTTTTTGGTTAACATTTACTGTAATTTGAATCTGAGGTGCATCTTAGATTCTGAGGGTTCAAAAGTCACATGGTGTGAAAGTAATGGCAACTGCAAGGCTGAAAAAAGAAGCTTCCTTTTGAGTGACACTGAAATTAGTGGACCAAAATAACTTGGTAGTTATGTTCTAATGAAAGGAATAATAGTAAATGACAGAAAATTACAGGCTTGAGAGACATGCAGTTGAGGCATTAGGAGGTTTAATCATTCATTTTCATGACTTCCGAGTTGTAAACTAGTAACTTTGTCTGAATAGATAAGGTCTCAGAATAGATAAATATTCTGTTGTTGTATTAGAATAATGTTAACTTTTCTTCATGCTTTCTCTCCCACTCTTGGACACATATATACCGCTAATGGTTGGAGAAAAGGATCCAAAAAAATGACACATACTGGTTCACTGCATGTAGATTATGATGCTACCAGCACTGCCAAAATTGACTCAGTTGATAATGGTCCAGCTTAAAACCAATCTAGCCTCTTCGATTCATGTGGTGTGGCCCTATATCAATCATCGAATATGTGAACTTTTGGCTGAATGTGGAAATGGCTTTACTATCAACTAGTACTTAGGCTGAACCCCATTTTTTATTACCATTCTAGGAGAATGGCATTTCTTCTAAAGGGTACAAATATTTCTTCAAGAATATTTATTTTGAAAGAAAACACAAGGATCCTATAGTGATTTTGTTGTCATGGGAAGAAAAATGGCACACTTCAAGTATAATATGCCAAAATTCAGAGGGGTGGTTGCTGAAAAAATCAGGCTGAGATGTCCATATCTCATTCTATAATGAACATCTTTCAATAATAGCTTACTATATTATATAATCACAATGCTCTATGATTTACATTAAGTTAACAACAACTTGGAGAAAAGGGGGGAATAAATAACCCACATGGGTCATAGTTACTAATATTTTCCTCGTTTTAAAGTTCTAGATCTAGATCACAAAAGAAAAAGTTTCCACCTTTACTTTCACTAAGAACAAATGAAATGAACCTTAACATGATTATTTAATTATGCTTACACTGCTTTAACGTCAGATAACTGTGTTAACACTACTTTTCTGGTCCCACACTATGAACTTTTTCAGCCGCCAACTCTATTGCGTAGTGCAGCTGAAGAGTTCATCTCAACAACATGATTCTGTTTTAGCGGTTGAAATTTTTTCAGATTCTTTAGTTAACATTCTCACTTGAATCTTTAGGAGTAATCTAAGTTGTTTTTGGTTATGACACCGACAATGTCTTATTTTCTTATTCAACTTTGGGCAAATAGGTATCCAAATAAGGAACTTCAAGGAAGGTTTTCCTTTGGTTTTTAACTAACACTGAAATTTTGTTTTGTTTTCCATTTTTTGTTTTTAATGTCGACAGAACCATGTTTGTGCCACTTGAGAGAATTTTCCGTGTGTCAATTTTCTTTCTCTTTCTCTGCATGTTCATTGTATGTTTTTATTATTATTATTATTTTAGGTAGTGGTAACCTTCCTTCGCTTGATATGCTCTTACCACTTAAACAAATTAAAGGGAAGAAAGAACAAAAGATGATTGCGTTTGTGTGCCTATTTTTTTATACAAATTCATAGCATTTGTATTCTTTGGTTGAAAACTTGGCACTTTGTCTGCTTCCTTGACAATAATCAGTCTTTGTCTATTAGCCGTCAATTCCCAAGGGGAAGGTTGTATCTGTAGCATCATTTGATTCTATGCCCCTCATTTACCCAAGTTCTGTATATTTGTAACTTAAATATTATAAGCCATAATTAACTCGTAGTTTTTACCCTTGATGCTCCATTAAAACCCAATAATATGTTCTCCAATCAATTACCAAAAGGTAAAATTACTGGACAAAAAGTGCAACATGGATGTTGTCATAGCAAGTGGCCTTGTGAAGGCTATAAATGTAGAAGAAAAGGAAACCTCAGCCCTGAGAATACCACAAATAAAAAGTAAAGATACATAACTTTATTAATTGGAATGACCTAAACCAACCAAGCATCCACTATTCAAGACTAATAAGTCACATGAAATTCAACATCCCTTGTTCCTTTTCCTCTATTTTGCATTAAAGATTCCAATAGATATACTTTGTGAGATGAAGTTGGGAAAAGAGATTCACTTCCCCTTCTACCTTTCCTCGTCAAAAGTTTATCTTCTTAAGTACGAAGAGTTAAATACATAGAGATCCATCATTTAGAGGATCTATAGGGACAGAACTCAGGTGTGTCTTATTCTTCCCCTGGTGCTCCATTAAATATATCATAAGCTTGATTCCTTCAAACAAATAGAGGTAAGGAACTCAGGAAATAATAGTAGTATTGTTATAAATCTCAAATTCTGGTATCAGAATCATAAGTGACTCGTCTCTAATTTCAACTTGTTTTTCCATATTGCAGGAAAAAAACTGTTTAGGAATCAACTTAAAGTTAGGTATTTGGAGCTTCTGATTCCAGGAAAGGTATATTATTGTTTCCCTTAATGAAATACTAAATAGCCTTTTTATATGTGCATCTTTGAATCTTTCTCTCCTCAAGTTCTAATTCCTCTTCCTCTTCTTCTTGGTTTTTTATTTTAATTATAATAAAATAATCATATAGTTTGGAGGAAACCAAAATTCTAATTCAATCTCTTGTGAAAACTTTCTTCTGTTTTGTGCTATGTAGGAAGTGGTTAATGGAGGATAAATATAGTCTAATTAGGCAGCGCAGTGGTTTATGGAGATCCTTAAGAGATGGAGAATTTGAAGAAGAAGAAGTTTGGAATGTTATCAAGGACAGACCTGATTATATTTCTGGAGTTAACAAGCACAAGGACAATGAGTCCAATCCTTTTGCTGTCCCTAGGACCCTCCCAACTGCAGCAAGGATGATCCCAAGGACTAGTAGTGGCAATAGTAATGCTAATTCTTCTCATGAAAGCAAGGTTCTTCAACAATCAGCACCTGTCAACATTCCTGACTGGTCAAAGATTCATAGGAATAAGCAAAACAAGACCCCCAAGAATGTTTCAAGGTTTGATGATTATGATTTCTATCATTCTGTTGACGATGAAGGTGATGGTGATGATGTTGATGTTGTCAATTATGGAAGGCATAGTGATGATGATGAAGAAGAGGAAGATGATGAGTATGATACCAAGCTCCCCCCACATGAATTTATTGCAAGAAGGCTTGCAAGGAGTCAGATATCCTCATTTTCAGTTTTTGAAGGTGTTGGGAGGACCCTTAAAGGTAGGGATCTCAGCAAAGTGAGGAATGCTGTTCTCACAAAAACTGGTTTCCTTGAATCACTGTGAAGGGGTTTCCATGAATCAAATTTGTGATGTATAGGGGGTTTGTAGTTAGTGGTTTCTTAGCTATTGAGATTGTGTACAAGGTTTTGTGTTTTAAGGGTGTGAAAGATTCATTTAGGGATTTACCATTTAAAAGCAATGAGTTATTAACTTGGTTGTGGCAACTAAAAGTGATTTGTGAAATATATGGTATCTAATATGTTGTTTAGAGCATCCATACAAAATGATGGATGTGCCAGGTTAAGTATTGAAATTGGATCATAAAGCCATAAATCAATCAGAACAAAAGTACATACATTTTTTCTTTCTGTAAATTTTTTATTATTATGTTATTTCCTGGTTGAGCTTTGGCTTTTAATAAACAAGTCAATGTCTCTCTCCTTGGCCTTCTTTCCTCTTCCCATATTTCCTCTGTTTTCTTCTTGTATGTAAAAGCTTGAGATCAATGCCATAATAGATGTCCCAAGTTATTCCCAAATCTTTGGGGAAAAACTCTTCAAAGTGAATTAAATCAATGGTAATTACAGCTTTATTTTCTCACCTTAGGAACAAGTTTAAAATATCTTTATACAAATCTTTGACACCTCAAATGTTTTCTTTTTATGGTTCTCTTTAGTTCAATTTTTTTTTAGAAGACACAATTGAATAAAAGTCATACCAATGGCATATTAATTGGATTTATAATAAAGGAAATTACTGAACTAATTTTTGTACTACCTATGCACTTTATGACTCGTAAATCATTGATGTACAAATATCAGCTCTGTAAGAAATGGTTACACGAGTTAAGTTTAAATAACTTTACATCTATTTGAATAAAATTCTGTAAGAAATGGTTACATGAGTTAAGTTTAAATAACTTTACATCTATTTGAATAAAATTCTGTGTGATTTAAACACTACTCAGTGTAAATCCAATTTAGATGAAACATGAATGCAAACCACTTAACTGTATTACACTTCTACAATTATTGAATCATACATAGTAAGGGATATTGACAGAGACATGCTACCAACTTAATGTCTTTAATTATTATTGAAAAGAACAAGGTTTAATATCTAATGATAAGTGATAAGAATGGGGGAGAAAAGAGTGAGTAGTCTCTATCAACTATAAATGTTGATCTCCATAAAGAGAAAGTTTAATTTCATAGAAGCGACTTACAGAGTTGGTTTTCTTTAAACTTTCTTCAATTTAATAATTTTTATCTCTTACCCATGTTTTGTATTAACATTCTTGACCTTTCAAAGTTGAAAATTAGTGTTCATTGCTTCAATGTCCTAAGATCTTACCTATTTACTTTATTAACTTTGGCATAATATGAAATAATTAGTAGCAGTGGTTTGATTCAAAAATAGCACTATCACTGGCACAATATAATGATCTAAGGATTCTACAATAGTAAATTCCTGCTTTCATTGTCAGAATTCAAAATCTCTTACTGGACGTTTGGTAGAGGAAACTTTTTTTTTGTCCGGGAATCTCGATTTTCAAAAATATGATTTTTATATTCAGTTTACGATAATATCCGGAAATTTAAAATTTAAAAAATTTTAGTTTCTCAAAAATCTGGCCAAAATCCTTGTACCAAACGCCAAGTACATATTTGCTTATCGAAAAATTGTAATCAAAAGACTTTTGACTCATTTAGTGTTAAAAGGAAAATATTTTATCTCATTGATTTAATTAAAATTTAAATATTTTATCAAATTAATAGAGTGGCAAGTGGCACATCTCTCTATTTGTGACTTGAGTACAAATACTTCCATGCAAAACTTGCAACATGCGACTAGAGGTGGCAAAGTGGGCGGCCCGCCCCGCCCCCACCCTGTCATTAACTCGCCAAAAAATGAGTCAGCCTGCCCTGCCCCGCCCCGCTTTTGAAAGTGGGCTAAAAAACTCAGCCCGCCCCGTCCCGTTTGGCGGGTTGGCCTGCCAGCCCGAGCCTATTTTATCTTGACCCGCCTCGGCCCACCTATGCTCGCCATCAACCCACCAAAAAATGAGCTCGTCCCGCCCCTCCCCGCTTTTAAAATGAGTTGAAAAACTCAGCCCGTCCCGTCCCATTTGACGGATTGGCCCGCCGAGCCGAGCCCGTTTTGCCGGCTCTACATGCGTTCCACACTCGCTTTTGGATAAATTGTACATTATTTTATGCGATACTTGAACGCTTATATTTTATATGCGTATTATTGACAAAGTATTTAACTTTTAAATCAATGTAATAAATTATTTCTTTATCACATTATTAAGGTAAAAAGGCCTTAATCAAACTGTTGATCAAATGTAACTCTCTTGTCATGACAATGACATTTAACATCTCCGTCTTTTTACCGTATCAATGCATTTTATGAAATATTCAACTATTTTAGTTTTGTGATCAAATGCATTATTGTAGTGATGTAGCAAGGAACGCAACGTGTGGCTACCTGTTTAATCACGTCATCACCATATATGTTTAAGACAATCTGAATATGTACATTTTATATATGTTCATTTAGACATGTCAGTACCAGGTGCACATTTAAATTTAACTTTTACCTTTGATCACTTCAATACTAAGTGCACGTTTCTTGCGACACAGATATCATACGCATACCTACCTTATGCTCGACAATATGCATAAAAATTTGATGCACGTCTTCATGTATTACTCTGACAATAAATTTGATTAAAAACTTAAACCATAAACATTTCAAAAAATGCATTTGTCATATAAAAAAGTTTAACATCTGACGTCGTGGCACTATTGTATTGTGTTAAATCATGAAGGTTCAATCCTTTCGAGCTTTGTTTTGACACACCGACGCACAAGATATTGAATGAGTCGAAGGTAAAAGACAAAGAAAAGAATTTGAGAAGAGAGAAGAGAGAAGAGAGAAGAGAGGCGAAAGAAAATTATTATCATATACTTAATGGAAGAAGCATAATAGGCCGAGATCACCATAAATTTTTGCCAATCCTTTCACCCTTGAAGTTATGTGAGGTTCAGAAAAGTGATTTTTGCTGTGTGCAATATGTTTATGGGGTTTGAATTTGTCATTTAACATGACACAACAAACTTTCTTACATACACAATATTTTATGGGGCTCATATTTTTTGAAGATAAAAAAAAAATTACAGCATGCAAAACAAACCTCTATAACATTACACAATCATTTTTTCTATAACATAACTATCGTAAAACCTTATTTTTATACCATTGAAATATTATTTCTTGGATGATACGGCTAATCTATGATTACATAGGCTTTTTTGTCTTGCTCGTAAAATAAAGTATCCATGGGATGCAAAGAATAACAGTCGAATCAATCACTTCAATGGGAGCTACTTCTGCTAATACCTTCATAAACCACATATATCTTGATTGAACTTTGATAATTATATCTTAATTTGATATATAATTAAAATTTGAAAATCAGCATGTTTGAGACATATGGTTTTGAAAGGAAAAGGAAAAAATGGTAAATTTTTTAATTGAAGTATTAAGTTTAAGAAAATTTTAGAATAAAAGAAATAAAATAATACATTGTTATAAAACCTTTCAATTTATTTTATAATCTCTTTTAATTTAAAAAAATAAAAACTTTATCTTACTTCTAGAATCTTCTATCCAACCATTCATAATGAATAAATATAGGAATACACAAATGATAAGAGTAAAATGATGGTGAAGACGTCAATTATATACATGAAGATAATGATAGGTAAAATCATGCCTATAATGTTATCCAAAAAAAAAAAAAAAAAAATCATGCCTATAAGGGCCAGTGTGAATATGACATTTAGGGGTTTTGGTTAGCCGTTGAAATTGTGGTGGTGACTAATTGATTAATTGCTATGTGTGTAGGACCAGAAAAGTTTTGCTTGAACATAGTTTCTAACTTTCTACAGGCGAGCCAACTATTCACAAGCACGCATGCGGCTTACATTATAGTATCACATTGTATCTATTACACGGAAATTTCTACAATATTATTGTCTTACCCATTTTTCTGTACATCCCTTTAATACAAATTAAACATCTACATTGGTTGATGACATGGAAAAAAAAAATATATTAAAAACAAGTGTTTAATTTTCAATAGCAGTAGTACATACTACTGCTGTACCAAAGATGAGCTCCTATTACACATGTGTTAACAGTATCTCATTAATTGGGATTATCAACTGAGAAGTAAGCTTATCCAAACAGTTTAGGAAAATACTTTTACAAAGGGGTACTATTGTTTAATTTGTTTCCGTATTGATATGATTCCCATATTTTTTGCGTACAGTCTATTGATTAAATACAAAATATGAAAATAAAAATTATTGGTCAATAGTTAAATACATTATCCAATATTCAAAATAAATAATTAAATGTACAGAGATGAAAGAGTATAATTCATTGTAATTCGCAGCTAGTGGAAAGTTATGGGTAAAGCACAACAATTTTCACTGCTATTGTGAGATGAGATTTTTTATTTTTTATTTTTATTGGGTCCTATCCATTTTCTTTGTATGCATAAGATAATATTGTTGCATATAACAAAAAAAAAAATTACATATTATTATATAAGATTAATATTTTTTATGTTATAGAAAATAATTTTATCTTATATACAAATAAAAGTATGCAAAGCTCATTATAATAACCCTCACTAATAATTGTGGATTTAATATTGAAGAATAATTAGAAGTAAAAGAAAAAAAATCACCTTTGGTGAAAAAGGAGTTAAAATGACAGTAAGGGATAAAAATACGGGTAAACAAAGTTACTCGAAAAGTGAAAGTAAAGTTAGAAATATGACTAGAAAAATATTCTAGTCCACTGGATAAAGTTTGATAATGAATGGAGGTGTGTAGATAGATAAGCTATTACCCAGTTAAAGTAACTTGGCCTATTTAATTTTTTGGACACCGTAGCACCCCCTTATTTCTCCTTCCATTCCCGTGAGTGCCCTGTGTCTTTCTTCTCCATGGAAGCTTAGGGTTTCTTTTCTTTTTCCTCTCATTTTCACTCATTTTGCCACCAAAAGCCATGATGCTATACATGAATCTTTAAGGAAAAAAGCTAGTGAATCCATTCCATCACTCCAGTTGGGCTGATTTGGCTTGTGGAGAGAGTTATTCATCACCTCCAATTCGTGGCACTATTCATCCTTGTGAAAAAGTGGGGCTTTTGAGTGAGCAAAGCTTAGATTTTGTTCTTTGGAGCTTGGAATAGCAACTATAGGTAAGAAACCTCTAATTCTATGGTGTTATGTTTGTGATTTAAGTCTTGATAATTGTGAGCATATTTTGGTGGGAAATAATTTAGTTTTGAATTTGAAATTGATGATGAATTAGTGTTGTTAATGAAGTTATAGTGTTAAATAAGCATGATTATGAGTTTAAAGGTTGAAAAAATTCCTTGCATCTCCCTCCCTAGAATTCAGCCATGTAGTGATGAAAGGAATGGTTGCTAACAAAAGATAGCTTGAGAAAAAGTCATGAACACACCTATATGTGTCATTTTCAACCCTTAAAGAAGTAAATGGGTTGGAATTGTAGTGGACTTGGAATTATGATTTGTAAGTTATGTTAAGGACATGATAAGTACATGTAAAGTGAGAAATGCCCACTAAGAGTTAGTGGTTTTATGCTAACTAGCTTTGGGGTTCTATATGTAAGTTTGAAAGGAATTAGTATATGACTTGTGTATTGGCATAGATTTGGCATAAGTGTTAAAAAATGAAAGTAAGCAGTAAGATGTATGCCTTGTGTAAATTTTATGGCATTGTAGCATTTTATTGATTTTGTTTTGAATTCTTTCTCTAGGTGTGCTTAGCGACTGAGAGGGTTTGAATTGCGTTTGGAGCTAAATAGGTAACTTGTGTTACAAGTGAGCAGATTGGTAAAGCTCCAAGAGGTAAGCTCTATGTTTATGGAGTTCGCTCCTACTTTGTGTTCCGCCATAGTGTACGGACTGTGGTCGGGTTGTATGATATGTATGAGATATATGATATAGATGCATTCATATAGAGCTATATGATAATATGATATATTTTGTTTTGATGTGTTTACTTTGATATGTGTTAATATGATATGTTTTGTTGAGTTCCGCATGGGGTCCACCCTTGGGAACACGTACACTGATTCCCACTTGGGGTCCTCCCCTGGGATTGACTGTGTACACATTTGTTATATGACTTGTTCTGATATGATTTTTGTATTGATCTTTGGCTGGAATTGACTTGTATGGTACACTGATGTCTTCTTGGATTCCCCTGAGATTGACGGTGTACGCCTCTAATATGTTCTGGTTCCGCTTGGGGTCCTCCCTTGGGAACACGTGCGTTGATTTTCGCTTGGGGCCCTCCCTTGGGAATGACTGCGTACGCCTCTGATATGTTCTGGTTCCGCTTGGGGTCCTCCCTTGGGAATACGTGCGTTGATTTTCGCTTGGGGCCCTCCCTTAGGAATGACTGCGTACGCCTCTGATATGTTCTGGTTCCGCTTGGGGTCCTCCCTTGGGAACTCGTGCGTTGATTTCTGCTTGGGGTCCTCCCTTGGGAATGACTGCGTACGCCTTTGATATGTTCTGGTTTCGCTTGGGGTCCTCCCTTGGGAACACGTGCGTTGATTTCCACTTGGGGTCCTCCCTTGGGAATAACTGCGTACGTCTCTGATAAGATATGTGTATATGTTTTGTTTAGTTATGATAATTGTTTATATGACATGTTTTATGTGATATGTATGATGATTTTGTAAATGATTTTTGTTACGTACGTTGATTTCTGCTTGGGGTCATCCCTTGAGAACGATTGCGTACGTCTCTGATATAACATGTTTTGTTCTGATGAGAGTATTGTGATGATTTTTGTAAATGATATTTGTTACGTACGTTGATTTTTGCTTGGGGTCATCCCTTGGGAATGACTGCATATGTCTTTGATAAGATATGTATATATGCTTTGTACAGTTATGATAATTGCTTATATGATGTTTTGTATATTATGTATCTGACTGTCATGCAGGAAGTGAGCCCAGGGTATGGAGAGTTTTCCATAAACCTGGAGTTTACTAGAGATTCGTCTCTAACCCCGTTTGGGGATATGATTTCAGGAACACAGTTAATTGAAGAGCCTTATGGGACAAGGACACAAACCGTGGCTAGAGGTACTAGTATGAGGATGTGGAGTTCTGGGTGGCTGGAGGCTACTATTTATTTTAGACGTATTTTTGGAAAAGATGTATTGTTGTATAGTGTTCATATTCGATGCATGTACATTTATGTATTCAGGCATGTTGATATGACTATGTAGTATTCAGTTATGTTATGTATTGGATTGCATGCTATTAGATTAGTGGCACGGAGCCAAGTTCTGCATGCGCCCATGGATGGGTATCTGAGTATATTTGCATGACTGGTACTTCTGGATATATATATTGTTTAAACTGTCTATCAGGAACTCTTGAGAGTGGGATTGAAAGATCCCCAGTTGTCCGATTTACAGAGGTTACTCTGTCCGATTTTCGTTTACGCCTAAGGAGAATTAAAAGGGAAAAAGAAAAAGTTAGCTCATATTTTCGTAAGTTTAAGTCTTCCGCTGTTTCTGTTAAGTATAATATGTAGAAAAAAAATCTCATGTACTTTTATATGTGTAGAAAATAAAATTATCTCATAAAAATATTATTCCCATATTATATAACCGAAAAAGCATCACTTCATGTGGCAGTCAATAAGCCAAGTGATTTAAGAACCCTTCGTATTAGATTGCTGAATTTGAGTAGAAATTTAGTGCTCGCAGAGCACTTTTGATTTGGTGGGATAGAAAAAAGAGAAAGAAAGAAAGAAAAAGTTGGGAAGAGAGAAGAGAAAAAAAAAAGAAAAAGAAAAATGTAATACAAGTGTCATACTCTTATTAGAGGAACCACAAAGTCCGGGACTATATTAAATTTTTCCACTGAATTTGCTGCAATTTTTTTTTTTTTTTTGGCTATGGCCTTCCAAGTTCCAACCAACGAAAAAATAAAATGCCTTTCTAATATCTCCCATGAAACTAAGGGTATGTTTGGTGCACTGCATAGTATAAGACATAATAGTATAAGACCTGATTGTATAAGCCCTGATTAAATTTTAATACTATCCAGCGTTTGACATGACATTGTATAAGATGATGTATAGTATAAGATAATACTATCTAGTGTTTGGTAATGCACTGTATAATACTAGATAGGATAAAAATATTTTTTTTTGACAAAAATACCCTTTAATAAAGAATTAATATGATTCTTCCAAATATGTCATATGATATTAATTTTTATAAAAATCTACTGATAGTATGTCCAAAAAATAAAATAATTTTTTGGTAGAAAAAATCTTCAATATTTTTTTTAAATAAATTCATGAATACTATATATTTTAACTTAAATGAGGTAAAACACTATTTCTCATTGACCTTTTTATTATCTTAAAATTTTGTTGTTTTCCTCTTTTTTGTTTATATGTTGATATTGGTGCGAGTTTATATAGATGAAGATATTCTCAATTGAATGCGAATGAAAACTGAAAGTTTCAGCATTTAGAATATATGATTGATTTATGATAATACCTTTCCATTCTTTCAAGTACCATTCCACATTTAGTGCTATCAAGTACAATAAAAAAATTAAACTCAAAAGTAGTAACTCACAAAAGGTGATTCTAATTACAGAAATTTAATTCAAGACAATTTACTCAAGTATCGTATACTATGATCGAATAAATAGCATAATGATCAAGAATCACAATTATGTGTTCAAACTGGTCCCAATTCAAAATACAAGTATTTTTCTTAGATACATGACATAATATGATCAAAATGAAATGAGCAAAAACTAGGTCTATGAGCTTTTTACAACTCCATCAAATAATTTCAAGAGTTATGATCAAGCAAATCTTTCACAAACTGCACTCTATGTTCGCCTTTAAATCCCAAAAACAAATGCACTAGAGGAAGATTCGACATAAGTAAAATACCAGCCTTATTGCGTTCTCTTGGTGCGAGGTCTTCCAATTTCATCAATTCATCCGCAATACCCCTTGAATCATCATAAAAGTCTTTCACAACCTTCACACCTTCAACCATTACCTTAACACTTTTAGCCATAGCACCCATCCTATCAGCAGATTTTCCAACAACTTCTACAAGCTCCTTCACACCTTCACCCATCATAGTAGCTAGTGCATCCTCTCCTCTTGATCTCTTTCTTACTCGTCGACCTTCAGAGTTAGTATCTTTTGCCTTGTTCTTGTTTTGATTCACAGACATTGATTGAGTGACATCTTGGATGTCATCATCACTAAATACATTAGCTCCCTCTAGAAGAACCGTAGTACCATTGTTTCCATGAGTTTGTTCTTCTTCGTCCAAGTCCTCAAGTACATAATTAGGAGCTTCAACATTTTTCCCAGTAGCACGATCCTTTCCAAAGATTATCATCAATCGATTAAAGTGTGGAAACACTTTGGTCCTATAGTTCTTCAAGGTTGCATCTCTCTTTACATGTAAAACAAATATAATAGGCACATTATAGTTAATTAAAGTAGATAAAAAACAAAAAAAGCATGTTCTATAAGTGATTAAAAAAATTAAAGAACCTTAGCTTGGATGTAAGCATTCCACACATCATCACTATCTACTAGAATCTTCTTGTTAACATCATCCCATCCAAAACCACTTGTGTTCAACATGTCATATATGTTACCATACTCCATTTTAAGCCTCCTCATGATTGACTCAATGTGTGGCTTCACCTTTTGCTTGCTTCTGGAAACTTGGCCTCCAAATTTTGTTCTAACCATTTAAAAGTACCATTTTTGAATTGCCCAGCATCAGCCCTTTTGTTCAAGGCAACTGCCTCTTCTAATAAATCTAATAGTGTACTAAACTCTTCGTCACTCCAAGCCCTACGTTTTGCTTTAACTTTGTTGGCTTGTTGAGTACTTTCAGATGCCATACCTTTTGGAGCCCTTGTTCTCCCATAATTGCGATTAGAACACCCTCAATGATATATTAGTATCATATTTCTTTCTAAATTAATAATATGTTTGGTGAAAGTAGAGAAGTTCATTGCCACCACACAAGCAGAATTTCAGAAGCAAGATCAGGGTAACATATGTTGTTGCCCCTTTGCTCATAACATGGTCAAACATGAGCTCAATCCTATCATGAACCTCAATAAAAATCAAGAAAAAAGAAAATAAAGCTGAACACTAGAGCAAAAAAAGAATATCTTTGGTTTTAATCTTGCAGCCATGGATCATATTCAGGTTTGTATAAAAAAAATCTGCCTATCTCTTTTACCCTTGATAGAAATGTTGATTCAGTTTTGAATTGATCTTTTCAGCAAATGATGGCTTCAAGATCAGATGCACTTTTTCGTGATGCAAGAGCAAAACTCCTAGAGATACGTGCTCAACAATCAAAATGTTTACAAGAAAGGTCAGATATTGGAGAAGTGAAGCGGAAGAAGAAGAAAACATAAGTGTCATGTATGTTTAGACATGGTTATGCGCTGGATTATGTTAATGATATGGGTATTTCAATCATTGCGGAGAAATTAACCTTGAATGGAATTATATGTGATCGATGAAGCATTGCAGATTCAGAGCAAAGTAGTCATAAGAAAAATGATGAGTAGAGGTTGGGTCACCAGAAAAAGGCTTATGACCTTGTCAATGTGATTCTTTTTACTAGAAGATTGCTGTTTCAATCTGCGACCTATCTTCGTGTCAAAAGTTGACATCTTCATTTGAAGAGCAAGGTTTTCACAGTAGACTATTACTGATGTGGTTGGCTCAGAAAAGGTAGTTACTTTATATATTCACTATATGTGTAAACATTAGTAATTTTACATAAATTTAATACGACTTTCTTCTCAGAATTTGGTTACCCTCTGTTATGAGTAAAATTTTCCCTTACTTTAGTTCCCTTTGCTAGTTATGTAATCAGATGCTCATGTTTCAAGTTTCCATCTATTTTTTCCCCTTTGCTATAACATGGCCAAACACGAGGTCGTTTTTATTTGTCGTTTCGGTTTTTGATTTTCGTCATGTTTTCTCAGTAACCAAATAGGAAACAAAAATTACAGTGCAACACAAACAAATAGATAAATAATTATCATAGAGCGACAAACTAACCTGAACGATGTGAAAGTTCCACAAAATGCAAATGGTTCTTCTTGGTTCGAGCAAATAGAGGTTTCGCAATTTTCTAAGAGAGAGAAAATGTATTGTAAAAGGGAGAAGAAGAAGAAAATAGGAAGAAGAAGAAAATAGGAAGAAGAAAGGGGATACAGTGGTGAAGAAAGGAGATACGGTGGTGAAGAAAGGGGGAAGAAGATGAAAAGGGTAGAAAGGTTAAAAATGGAGGTAAAAAATGGGGAGGAATAAACCTAATACATTGCTTTCTTATCAGGTATAATCCCACCCCCATAGACCTGATTAAGTTATACATCATATTGATGTATTAAGGGACCCTAACGTATAAGCTTATACTATACTATGGTCACACCAAACAACTAAAAATATCGTAATGTATAGTATAAGCTTATACTATCAAGTCTTATACATTGCACCAAACATGCCCTAAGTACGCTCTCAATCAAGAGTTACTTACAAGTTAACATATCCTTAAAATATTAAAAAATTTATAAAAAATAATAAACTATGGGCTTAATATTTATCTTTTTAAAGGACATAATTTTATCCCCTTTTTTGTTACATAAAACATAACTTTATCCTTTAGTAGCTTTATACTATGTCTTACCAGTAAGACATGATTATGTTTTAATTATGTTTTACCGATAAGACATAGTGTAAAATTACTAAAAGGATAAAATTACACTTCTTTTTCCCATAAACTATATAGCATCACTTTTGTACGTACCGGGGAAACTATAAGATTACTTTACCTTAAAAAAATGTTATTAAACTCGAACCGGTCATCGACTCGACTCGATCGGGGTACCGAATCAGTGTGTCACTAGTTCAACTAGTGGATCACTGCTTGAATTGCATGACCCGGGTAGATGTATATAAATGTATTTTTTATACTCAATTCCTTCATAATAATTTTTATATTGTTTACAAAATCCATAATTATGTCTAGATGGAGATATTTAATAAATATGCATTAACATCACACACATATTAAAAGTAAAACATTAATATATTTATGCATGTAACAATTATATTTTAAAAAATTATTGAATAAATTTTTTAATATAAAAATAGATAAAAACTTAAACAAAATAAAGAAAAGAAATTTATGCATATGATCTAT